CCAGCCCACCCCATAGCCTGCGCTGACTGTCCCAAATTCCCTCCAAGTAAAGCACATCTGTTGCTCCCTCCACCATCTATAACCAAAACTCTCCCATCACCTCTGGTTTCTAGGAGTTGCCTCACTAAAACGTTGTCCTCAAACACCTTAACAGTCAATATAGGACCTGAGAATGCTCGACGCTGACCATATATCTTAAAGATCGGTTCTAAAGCACGTAGCTCACCATTCGCCAAAAGTAAAGCATTTGAATCACATGCTTCAGCGGTTGCAAAGGCAGCCATATCTAACTTCCTGCTCCTGCATGTGTGTGTACGTTACTGTTTGAAATAATATCAAACAGAGCAGCAATTTACTCAAAATTACGTCATTTTAATAATATATTACTAGAAAAGACAATCTCATTCCAACTTTAAAAACTACAATGTTCTACGTTTTTTTAACAAGAATTTATTGAAATGAAGCCTAATTTTTTCCGAATCAAGTTGATAAACATTTTTCTCATTTTCATATTTATATAGTAGTATTTATCAGTTGAAGCTTTAAAAATTTAGGAGGGAAAATAACCCAAAATTATGACATTTTAATGAAGCACCATAAGAAAAAATTAAAATAATCTCTTTTTAACATTTATTTTAGTGGGAATATATTAAAATGACATTTTATGATTCCTCTTACACACATGATTCTTAAACAATATCCTATTCATGCATTTTCACTTTCTAATATGAGTAGCTGAGATTTATTATGATTTTTTTTTAGATAAAAGAGATAATTAACTTAAAAAATAAAAAATAAAAAGTAGATAACTCTATGTCATTCATAGCGGAGGCAGGGAAAAATCACAAAAGAGAAAAAAAAGCCTTTAATTACCTTAATATTGGTTCTATGATTGATATATACATGGTTAAAAGAAACGAAACTTAGGGTCTCTTTGAATCGCAAAAAATGATTTTTAGAAATTATTTTCTGCATTTTTTTGATGTTTGATAACCACTTAAAAAATAGATCAACAGAAAATAATTTGAATCGTCGAAAAATGCTCTTACTTCCAAATAATTTTTCTAGGAGTTGTTTTTTCCAAACAAAAACATGCAGACTTTGCTCAGGTTGGGGACTCTATTTTCCGTAAAAACAAGGATTGCTCAGACGTACAAACAGAGCCTCCTTTAGATTTCATTGACGACAACTCTCAAACCACTCCCTTCCCTTTTCCAGTTCTTCGGCTAGATCACAATGCTAATTGGCACTCTAGCTCAAAATTCATAAGGCATTTCCTTAATAAAACTTTCTTTGTTTTCCTTCTAGGTTTTTGCTGATTTTGTCAAGATTATAAGGTGAATTGTTCAATTTTGTTCAACCGGGTGAACAAACAAAGGGTTTTATTATCTGGGTTTGGTCAATTTGTGATGAATGGGATAATATCTTAAGACAGAAAACCTTGATTTGAATATGGGTCCTATTCTCACAGTAAGATAAAGATCAATTCCTTATTATTTGTTTGTCTCTTATCAAACAGATGGTTTTGGAAAAGTGTGTAAGGCATGTAATCAATAGTGTGATGCACAAAAACTGATATGCCCATTTAGTGTTTGATAAAATGCGTCGATGAGCTCTGTGCACTTATTTTCTTGTCATAATCTATTTGGTATCATAACATGCTGTGATTTCTTAATTTTTGCTTACATGTCAGTACATTTTTGGATTGTTAATTGTATGAAAGTGATATAGTTATATCTTTCATTTAAGTGGTTTTCTATGAACTAACTTTATATTCTGAGAATTATTTGTTGAGTTTCATCTGAAATGATGATTCCTGCAGCAACTGGCTCTTAACTGATTGTTGATTATAGAGTTGTTGCTCATGTGAAACAGAGAGGCTTTCAGTTGTTAGAAATTAGCCTTTCTCCTTGTTAGTAAGCTAAATTTATGATGTGCATTTGTTTTAGTCTTTCCATTAAACAAAAGAAATACTTCTTGTGAAATGTTTAGACTGGTGTTTGTCATGATGCATCAATTATTCCAACGAAAGTTTTTTGAGGTAACTTGATTGGATGATGGATGTTATTGTATCATCACTTGGATCCCCTTGAGGAATGAGGAGACTGTAATAACCTGGCTAACTATTTTGAAGTTTAAGTAGCATAAATTTCTTATGTTATCAAGCATTATTTCCTCCTTCCCTTTGGCGGAGCTATAAAGATATTCCTTAATATATTAGTGGGGCTGAGTCACAGTCTACCATTCAGCTTGAGTTTGTAACATTAAGTACGATGGAAGTTCTTACTGTAGCTAGAAAATTACTTGATTTTTATTTTTGCTATTATTAATTTTTGGTATTGTTTTTTACGTTCCTTGAGCTTTTCTTAATTTTTTATATTTATATTAGAAAAGTGTTTGTTAGCTAGGCCTCTAAAAACTTAGGAGGAAAAACGTCTTAAAACAACGTCATTTCAAAATAACGTATTTTTTATACTAAGAATAAGTTTATTTTGGTCTTTTCCTATAGTGCTTTAATAAAACAATGTAGTTTTGGGGGTGTTTTTTCTTCTAATTTTTTGAGATCCAATCGACAAGCACTAAATACTATATATATGTGTGTGTGCATAGGATAAGGCTGTGGTGACCGCACCATGCAATACATGTGGCTTGAATTGGCCTGCAGCATTTGGGCATCATAGGCAAAAGGGTGGAGACTTGTTTGCTTTGGATCTTATGGTTTCACCAAGAATTATTATTAACTTTAATAGCCTGAGTTAAAAGTTTGCATAGATGCCTTGTTCTGTTGTATGTTAGGTGTCCGGAACATGTATGCTTTTGGTATATAAGCTCCACTCAATTAGCTTTGTATAGGCTTGAATATCCCTTGTACTTAAAGTAATAAAATTTTGTTTTTTGCTGATAAAAAAATTTTTATATTTGAATTTATATTTTAATAGTATACTAAAAAATACCAACAAAAACTTGGTTATCATGATTTGTGGTCAATGTTACGAGTTCAAAGCTCTAAAATGCCAAATAGCTAACTTTTAATGCATAAAAAAAAAATATGGTAGAATATGAAAATAATAAATGCGTGTTTGATTAATTTTTAATGTTTTAACTTCAATTTTATATTCTTTAATTAATTAATATTTTGGATTATCAAAAAAATAATTAAAGTAATGTTTCGAAAAATTTACAAATTTTTACCAAACAATAGAAAATATTTTCTTTTCAAAGTGTTCAAAACATTAGAAAATAATCTTTAGAAAAAAAAATTATTTTCTATGATAAATACTTGCCAAAATGAAATCATTTTCCCCAAACCGAAGACCTTAATTTTGTTGATTTGACTAACTGCCATAGAAATAGGAACCTCTAATTACCTTTACCTCTAGATCAACTACACTGTATAAATCCTAACGGGTATTGAGCAGAAATTGAAAACGGTTCTAGAATGTTCCATTCTCCGGATTATCAAACTCGTATTTGCATATCTCCATATTTGTTAATGAAGACTAATTTTCTATATATATTTAAAAAAAAAAAATACCTTGTATCTAGCTACCTAACATCATCAGGCACAACCACACAAGCACGGAAAAATATTCAATGCTCAATTTCCTCAAGAATTCATAATTAAGCTACTAACATTAGTTTTCTTTGACAAAAATAATTACTAATGCTTTGTCCAAGAGCAAATTAAGAAAAAAAATTCGAAACCTTAACATTTAAATATAAATATTCTTTTTTGAAAAATTGCCAGAAAAATGGAAATTTTCATTATTTATAACAGCAGGCGCAGATGCATAAACAAGGAACAATAGCCAAAATTAACTAAAATCAAACGAACAAAATAGAGAAATCTTGTAAGGTGACATTACCTGAATGAGAGCGAAGATGAATAATGAATTGAGCGGACTTTTCGTCGGAGAAGTTGGGTCCGCATCTATCTACTGTATTCCATATAAAGAACAAGAAGACACACGTAAGAACCTAATCTGCTTTGACCTGTGTGCCTCAAGTTGGCATCGCTATCTAGTTTGTCTTCTTTCTACCGACGTCGCGGACGGGCCTCTGCCCACATTTTAGTTGGGTTTATCATCTCAATCTCTTCGGCCCAGTACTTAGCACATCGTCCGAGTCCATTGCAAATTTCATTTCCCTCCTCAATCTTTAGCCAAACCCCCTCTTAAGCCCCATAACTTACCTTAAATTAACATGTGAGCCCCAAAACAAAAGAGGGTACAAACAATTTTTCAAATCCCTTGGATTATGGAAATTAATGTTTAAACCCCTTGAAAGATGCAAATTAGCCTTCATCCTTTATGGCCAAATGCATTTTATTTCACATTGTCTTTTTTATTTTTTATTTTTTGTTCACCCTCACCTTTTCACGTAAATATTAATATGAATTAAAAGACTTCTTATATAATAAAAATTTTACCAAAATAGTTCATGCTATCATTTTAAGCAGTAAGCTTCATAGTGTTTCCTACTTTTTGACTTATTTTTATAATTAACTATTCAATTTGTTTTAGGAGCTTGAGCTTAAAAAGAAATAAAGGCAGAACTAAGTGCTACTGAAGAAAAGAGGTTGAGGCTAACCTAGAGTTCTCCAAAGTAATAGAGAGACTAGAAAAACTAGAGGAGGTTGTAAAGGAGATTGTGGTTGTATCAAAGAAAGAAGCAGCAGGCAACCTAATCAAGAACCAGTAAGATGGTAATGAAAGTAAAAATCTTGCCATTGGTGAACCTTCTGACAGCAAAAGTAAATCATAGCCAAGTAGTTCACTGGGGCAATACCGGCTCATAAAACAGAAATCCACTAAACAGTCATCAAGCTTGGAACAAAGTAGAGTATAGATGCCAATTTCTGATGCTTCCCATGAAGACCAAACAGGCAACAATCAAAATAAAGGACCTCCACAAGACTCCATGAAATGTTGGATCCAGCCAAATGGTATTATGAATGTAGTAATTTAGCTAACTTGTTGCAGGGCATTTTGCCCTTTTAACTTAGGAATGCAATAGGTGCGTTTGGCCGGGCCAGAAGAGATTAGTTGGCAAGTGCATATCATATGAGACTAAAGAACATTTTTCTCGTTACTAGGAGGGGAGTTTGGCAAATAAATATTTTGTCCAACTCACCTCTCAAAAATTGCATGTGAGTTTACTCGCCATCAAAGAGAAAAAAAATTTATATTTTTTCGTCAAGTTTTTTATTTATCAATTAATAGCTAATTTTGTCAATAAAATAAAAATGTGAAATCCATTGGGGGTTTGAGATAAAAAACTAGCAATAGCTTTTTTATTCCATTGGTGAATTATACATGTTTCTTTTAACTTATTGAAAATGACTATTAATTATTAACTTTAATCAAACATATTAGATATTTTAAATTATAAATATTAATAATTATCAATGATTATATATTAACTATTACTTATTAGCTGTTTCGAAAAAATTATTCCAAACAGCTTATCTAACTGATTATTTTGTAATATGCCTTGCATGGAATGCACAACCACTTGAGTACGTAACACTTTTTTTTTAATTAACTAATTAACATCACTTTTGAACAACGTTAATAAAATTTGCAACAAGGATTTAATCCCTAGCTTTTTCTTGATACAATTGTTAAAGGACTTTATTGAGAAAATAATTGGTATATAATTGGTTCAACATACTTTTTAAAACTCGTATTGGTTCAATTATTAAAACATAATATAAGTATAATTGATTTAACTAGTAATTATATTTTGCATACATTACTACATTTTTAAGTTTGTTTATTTTTAGGACAATGATTGGTGCACACCCGGATCCAACACCTGAGTGTGCACCACCCATATAAAAAAAAATTTAGACCGGGTGATGGGCTTTTTTTTTTATATGATGTGTGCACACCTGGGTGTTGGATCCGGGTGTGCACACATCATTTTCTTTATTTTTAAATTCAAATAAAAAAATAATTTTTTATTGAGTATATTATACAGCATATTGAATCAAAATGTGTGTCAAGTAGTGTCTGAGAGTATTGATTGGTAACATTAAAAATAAAATATTTGTTATTGGTGCATTCATTCTATGTTTCTTTCTTTGTTTTGTAGACAGGGGAGCAGACGAAGAACATGGCATAGGAAGCAGCTGAGGCAGTGAAAAGCACTTTGGGGATGAATGCTGACAACTCTGCTTCGCCCAATCCATCTGCTGGTTCCATCAGTAACGACTCCAGTGGCATCAATCCAACTGCTTCAGCAGGCACCACCCCAGCAGCGTCACTTCATTTGCTTCTGGGGGTAATCAGCCCTGCGGCACTGGTGTATCACCCAAATCCAACGGCCTCTGCTGGCAGCCACCCCAGCAACCCATCACCAAGAAAGTTTTGAACTATTTCCTCAAAGCTTTTCTGCTTTGAGATAAGCCTCCCTTGGTTACGCTAGTGGACTCTTTCTATCTCTTAGAGAAAAAAAAATTTTTTTTCGGTCACCATCTTTTAGAGATTGTTATGTTATGTTTTGCTTTTGTTTTTGTTTATTGTTATTGTTATTATAAATTTGCCATTATTTAAGAGTCTTTGTGCCCCGTTTTGATTGTCTTCCATTCTTTTACTAATGAAGATTTAGGGGCTGATTGGATTAATGGTCGAAATTTAGCGTATAGCTAATAGTTGATGGCTAACGGTTGATAATCAATGATAGATGGCCAATAGTTGATAGTTAATAGCAATTATTGCTTGTAATTAATGTTCAGTAATAGAATTGCTAATTGTTTCTAATAGAGTGTTAAATTACTATTAAGATATATTTAATATTAGTTAAATTAGTTTTTTTATTTGAAATTAATTAAATTAGTTAAATTAATATTAACTCTACCAAGAAGAGAAATCGAAACTGTCTAGGAATCCATTAGAAGGATTTGGAATGTTTAAATTTAAGAGTATATAAATAATTGAATAAATAAAAAAAGAAGAAGAAAATCCTCAACTACTTTTAGGTCTAATAATTATCTATCGTGATTGTTGAAAAATGTAGTTGTTGAAGAATTTAATAGTTGTTAACTAATTTATAACAATTGACAAAAAATTTTATCCAAATACCCATATTTAGTTGGTTATGACCTAACAGCTATCAACTCCTCCAAAACCTCCAAAACAAACGGGCACTTAATTCCTTGAGCCTCTCTTTTGCTTTCTTTCTATATTTACAAAGGTGTTAAAATATTCTTTTGCTAGAGGTGCCTCTCTAGCGCCTCAAAACTTCTTGTTAGAGAGAGGTTTTTTATCTTGGACATTTGAGACAGTGAAATGGATATGAGAATGAAGCGTGAATACATACCAAAAGTTTTCACGATTAAAATCAAGCACCTTTTTTTTTTTTTTCTGAACATCTAACATTTTTGGGAGGAAGATTGAAATTCAGGTTACAGACATGAAGAATGCACCCTTGCCAATTGGGCTAATAGTCTGAGTGCAATCAAAATCAAGCCTAATACTCCTTTGTTTTCATTTAGTTACATGTTATACTTATTAAATATGGGTGTTTTGTTTTTTTTTTAGCAAATGCAATAATCTTATTCTAATTGAGAGTACAAAGAGTACTACAGCACTTAACAACATACAGCTATCTAAATCATGGAAACATCACGACTGTATCTCTAATTACATTCCTTTCGAGGAGCCATGCACTTGCCCTTTTTTTTTTTTTTTAATCACACCTATGATAGAGCCATCAAAGGGGAATTACATCATATAGTTCCTGAAATAAAGTTGACCATAAATTAGTTTTACCCCAATAAAATGACCTAAACTTAATCAATTCCAAAATTTGCACATCTTGGACCTTCTCTCTATTGAAGACATGTTGATTCTTCCATAGCCAAATTGACCACAGCATAGCATACCATATTACCTTCCAAGCTTCCTTTGCTCTTCCTTTTGTGAAAATTTCATTGTGTTGCAGAAAGTAGTCCATCCTCTTTACTGGGAAGCACCAATTAAAGTAAGAGGCCCACAATTTCCATGAAACGCTGGAAGAGAACAGCAAGTGATCTGTGTCCTCTTCCTAGGATTCACATAGAATACAAAATAGAAGACTTTCTCACTTGTTAACGAGAATTTAAATATGTGTAATATCCTTTCTTGTCCCCTTTTCTTAAAAGTTAAATTACTTGTAATGTGCTATTAAAAAAAATAAGTTTTTTTATATTAGAGATAAAAACTGAATTACCTTATTTGGCGCTTTGTATATAAAAAAGATATACAATGGGAAACTTGAGATTTGAATTTAAAAGGATGATTC